GTTATGAGTTTGGTATGTACATTAGATTTAGGGGTGGCAAATCGGGCAGTCGTTCCGTGTTTGTGCCTAACACGACACGACACGACACACAATATTTTCTCTCAACCCGAACACGACACGACACGATATCGTGTTTTTTTCATTAACACGAACACGACACAATAAAAACATGAGAAAACACGATAACACGACAAAATTAACAAAAAAACAACCAATTGCATAATGTCATCCATAAGTTCTTCCGAAAATTAATTCAAACACGTTAAACACGAATAAAACAATCAAAATTACATAAAACAACACAATAAAATTAATCATTAAATAAAAGAAATAAACAAGAAAACACAATTATCTTTAATCCCAAACAACCAATCTTTGGTACAAATTCGAGCTTCGAACATTGTATGTGTCAACAAACTTCAATACTGATCAAGAACATGGCTACCATTACCTACATGGGAATAGATAATACAAATCAGTTCTACACTTCTACTGATTAAATAATTCTAACAAGAAGCTAAGAATAAATAATAAAAATTAGAAGCAAAGAATGATTAAAACATAAAAAATACACCATACAGTTAGATACATGAATCAATCAGTAATATTAGAAAACTGGAATCACCATATACTGAGATTAAAAGGATAAAATTGAGTCATTTTAAGAACAATTAATTTGGAATATAAAGTATATAAAAAGAAGCATAAAACTGATAAACTGATAAAAAACAATTTCAACATATAAGAAGCAATACACTGATAAAACGATACAAAAGATTGCTTCTTAAACTAATAAAGATCGATTTCTACATATAGATTTCTACAACATATGACAAAGATCGATTCTACATATAAACTGATAAATCAAAATTACTAATAAGAACCAATAAACTGATAAACTGGTACAAAAAATAATCGATTTCTACATATAAGAACTTCTACAACAGATACAAAGAATCGATTTCTACATATAAACTGATACAAAAAAATATTGAGAATCAATTTCAAGTCTTCATGACTTAACATGTTTCGATCAACCATGGAGGATTGGAGGTTCAATAATGGTGATTTATGATTGGTTAAATACAAGTGCAATCAATTGAAAAAGATTGGAAAATTAGGGTTGATTGGTATAAAGGTTGAGCAGAACAGAGATTTGCGATTGAACATAGGCAAAAACCTACGGCAGTAGAGAGTATTAAAAGTCGCATAAGAAATTAAGAATGTCGGACTCTAGCAGAGAATGGATTAATGGAGTCTTTGGGAATCTATTGTTTATATTATTTAGGTGTGGATTCATTTATCAAAAAAATGCACATGTTTTAGTTTTAAATACATATTTACTTAATTAATAATTAATAGTTTATGTATAATATTAATTAATTATTATGTATTACCGTGTTATTTTCGTTTTAATACTGTGTTACTATCGATTTATTGTCGGTTTAATTCCATGTTGATATCGTGTCGTCATCGGATCAATTTTGTGTTATTTTCGTTTTATTATCGTGTTGAATTTTAAACACGAACACGACACGACACGAGGTCAGGTTTTTTATACACAACACGAACACGACACGAACACGAATTCGAATTTCGATTTCGTCTTAATTTCGTTCCGTGTCGTGTCGTGTCGACTTTTGCCACCCCTAATTAGATTGTATACTCAACTTATTACTAGTGAATATTAGACTACATAGTGTTGGTGACTACTTTTGCCACCCCTAATTAGATTGTATACTCAACTTATTACTAGTGAATATTAGACTACATAGTGTTGGTGACCGGTGTAAGTGGGAACTGTTGGGATATGGTGCCCACAATCACAACAGTTGGTAATAATACACGTAAGGATATAAATAAGCAACTAATGACACGAGAAAATAATAGGGACATGATTTGTTAATTAATTAATAGTTTAATTAATTAAATAAAATTTGGTGATCTAGAAGGTTCTAGATTAAGGAAATTAATAGTCAGATAATTACCAAAGACATGGATAATTATCTTGTGACTATATATATTTATCCTTTAAGGGTTTAAATCTTTCCCTATAAATAGAGGGGTCCTAGGCCGAAATTAACAATGTTTTTTTTACAAACCCTAGCCTAAAAATCGGTAGCCTCCTATCGTTCTTGAAATCCTAAGAAATGTCGTAGGTCGCAGCGCGATCATCAGAATGGCACGACACGACGTCGCTGCTTTTCGGTTTTCTGCTTCGCGTTCAAGGTGTTCGTTGATCAGGGTGTTGTTGGAAGTTGCTTATCTGCTCCTTGGGTACGACTACGAAAGAGGATCTGTTCGTTGGGCTCTTAGAACTCATCATTTAATCAATACAAAGAAGGTTCTAATTGTCTACAAAGGTATGTATTATTTTCCTTCTCTTTAGTTTAGTTGCTTTAGATTGGTTTCATATATATCCGTTGGTTGGTTTATAAGTTTATTATTTTTATGTTTTGTTGCTTCCGTTATGCCTTCGTGGCCTTTGAATAACCCTCATATCCCAACATTTACTCCTAGTGCCACATAAAGAACTTCTTTGTCGCTATAAATTTATAACACCTTTATGGGATCAATTAGGTTTTGGCTATACGATGGACCAATTGTATATTTTTGTTCAGGACATTCCGGTAAATCTTGCATACCAAAAAATGGCCTTTGTGTGTGCTTGTTAACTACGATCGACCATTCAAGTGCAAAATCATCTTCTTCTGTGTTAGATTTGCTTATAGCAACTTCTTCCTCTAGCTCACGGGTTTCAATAAAATCATCATTGCCACCTTCATTATGATAGATACCATTGTTATTATCGTCGTTACCTGCATCATTATCAACATCACCAAAGTTTTGATAATTTACCAAGTCTACATAATGAATTTGTCATTCTACATACATTTGACGTGGAACAACCTATATTTGATGTTGTACACACGATTTTTGAAATGGTGCTAAAGATATTTGATATGGTGGTACCAGTGTTTATATGGTCGTACCGAAATTTGATATGGTGCATAATATCCGGGATCGACATACTGAATTAGTCGGTACATATATTGTTTTTTTATAAACTACTTGTGGATTGAATTTTTGTTGTACCGGTGTTCCATATGAAACATATCCACCAACATTTTAAGGATCATTTGGAGAGAGATGCATACATGCTTGATTTTTGCTTCCTCTTATGTTAGATATGTTCTCAGCATAGCTTTTCCCTCTTTTGCTATCAGACCCTCTTCCTTCGATAGATCGGTTCCACCAATAACAAATAGATTTGCGACATTGTATTGAACATGTTGTGTTTCCTCCACTGGATCATTATCCACTAAATATAGATGTATACATTAGTTGAAACTTGCTGAATAATATTCTTTACATGCTTTACATCACCCTTATTAGCTATATGTTTAAAAATACTTCAATCTAGGATGTTGCAAAAGACACATTGTTATTAGGTATGTCATCCAAACCTGCCCCCTCTTTGATCAATTTATATAAATCTTGGAATTTATATCTACATGAATTTCACCAACAAAGTTTCTAACAAATTGACAACATATATCAATTCCCCATGTTTTAATTGTCATGAACCATTAACACAAACAATAATAAAATACTCATCTAAATAGTTTAAACTCATGATATCTAAACAAGAGCTAAAATGGTAGGTTGAAAATTTGATAGAGAAATCAAAAGAAAAACCTAGTAAAATTTTTGCTCCAAAAAACAAATAAATAGTTTGATAATTTGTTTTACAGAACCTCTTATAAGATAACAACCTCTAAAATATACGGATTTTCGTAGTATAGGTTCTGATTTTCGTAGTATAGTCTCTAATTTTAGCAGTAAACATGACAAGACAATACATGCATTTATTTAAAAAAAAAATAACAAATGACCTCATTTTTCACAGTCAACGGGGATAGTTTCATAGCCGATGAAGTCCAAAACAACGTCATTTTGTCACAAAAAAAAATGCAAATGGTCATTTATGAAAATTGTTACTATTTTGGTCATTTTTCATTTTTATGGCTACTTGGTGGTAAAAAGTTTTGAAAAATAGCTATTATGTTATTTTTTTTTGTTATGTTTGAGAAACAAAAAAATAGTTTATAAACTAACTTTTTAAAAACCCACTCACGAGTTTATTAAGTTCTTTAAAAAAATCTCTCAAATATCTTTTAATTAAAAAATAAACTCAATCTTCTATATGTATTTTTATGTTATTTTACATATTTCATCTAACTTTCAGTAGTTTTATCAAATATCATATTTTATCGTCTAGCAACTCATTTTTCAACTATCAGTTAAAAACTAACATTTCAATTATCAGCTAGTTTTTCAGTTAGTTCACGAAACATATAATAAAAATACATCTAATTTGTATCTCAAATTTTTAGTTATAAATAATTAGATTTTTGAAATCATTACCAATTTTTTGCTATAATGATTACTTCAAATATATTATCATCATCTAATTGTTTTTACCTTTAACCATTTGAATAAAATTAATCATCTAACTTTTTATTTTGTTTCTAACACTGCTATAAAATTAATTAGCAAATGACGGATTAGCGAGGTGGCATGCACGTTGCTAAATACTCACAAATGAAATATTTTATTTTCCATAACAATTAGGAATGGATTATTGTCGTAATCCTACCGTGCAGAAGGGCATTATTTAATTAACTACGGTTTAAGAGTGGATTCGAATTTTTATTAGGATTGGATAAATAATCTTGACATCATATGGAAGTAACGAATTTGATTATGTATTGGGTTATATGATTTAGGTCAAGTAAACTCTACGAAAGGTCAAACCACAAGCATTCCATGCAGAATTTGAACACCCGGCCGAACAAGAAGAGTTACCCCCTATACAAAGCAAACTCATTGGAATACCTTCATCCACAACCAAAGATAATCCTCGCTTTCAATCAACCTTCCATCAACACCATAAACATGTATATATACAACCATTTCCCTTGTGTCAATATACAAAACATCTATCTCATTAAAAAGCACGTTGGAATTTAATAACGTAAATTTCAGTTCTGAAAATGGCAATGAGACCAAGGAGCGGTAGACCTAATCCCAGCCGTCCACAACGGTACTTGATAGTTGGCCGTGTGCATGAACAGTTCAAGCCCATGTCTGAATGGAGACAAGAAGATGATCATGACACTCTTGTTCTTTATCTCCCTGGTAAATAACTAATTCTTCAACTCTATGTATTTTTCGGAGATGAATTTTTATAGTTTGATCAAAGTTTATTTGAATGCGTTATTTTTAAAGGTTTCCAGAAAGAGTACATCAAGGTTACAACCGAAGATGTTAATACCGTTAGAGTTCGTGGGGAACGTCTGGTTGCAGATAACAAATGGATTCGCTTTCTGGAAGATTTTCCAGTTCCTGAGAATTGTGATATGACAGGTATTCGAGCAAGATTTGATGGTGGAATTCTGACAATTACAATGCCTAGGAAGATCACCGCCACCGCCAACCCCACCGCCACTGCCACCGCACCTCGAGTTGCCCCTAAAGCCGAAGAACAACCCTTCAGAAGAACACAGCAAGATGAAGCGTTACCAAAACCTAAAGAAGAATCTAAGCAAAAAGAAACTGCTTTTGAATCTGCAAAGAAACCAGACAGGCCTCGAGTTGCCCCTAAAGCTGAAGAACAACCCTTTAGAAAAACAAAGCAAGAAGAAGCTTTACAAAAACCTAAAGAAGAATCCAAGCAAAAAGAATCCTCTCTTCAATCTGAGAAGAAACCAGACAGGCCTCAAAGTCCTTTAAAAGGCAGCACTTTGCCACCACAACCAATACCACCTTCTTCATCTAGACCATCAAAAAAAGAACCATTTAAAACCGCACCAGAAGTAAGGGAAAAGAATGAGGAACTTATATTTGGATCATTACCAACGAGCATTCCTAAGAAAGAAAAGCATAATGTTGTTGAGAAGCCCGATGAAGAAAGGGAAATCCATCAGAAAGGTGTTTATGGAAGGATGGATTTTGACGAAGGAAAAGAAAAAGAAAAACCACTAGAGGAGGAGATGAAGAGGGTTTCCGACGGAAGAATGGGAAAATCGAAGGACACAGGGGTTAGTCATGGCGGTTTTCTGGGTGATAAAGTGGAGGAGATAAAGAGGGTTGTGGCTAGGAGAGAGGTGAGCGAAGACAGGAAGTTACTGGTGAATGTGGGTGTGGGTGTTCTGGTGATTGTGGCACTCGGTGTCCATGTGTCGTACGCCATTGGGCTCATTGGCAGAGGGAAGTAGTCGCAATTATTCGTGTAATGTGGGCATGTATATGCTTGTTGTGTGTTGTGAATTTGTTGTTGTTTTAATAACTCGAGAGGTTCTAGGACCGAAATTTCTAAACTATTTATACATGTAAAAATGTAATCATGAAGTAAGGTGGAGAAATTCATGTGGAGGATTTCATTGAGTATATATATAATACAAAGAATACATAAAATAAAGGAAACTATAATCACACCATAATATATTCCTAATTTAAATCATACCATGAATCATATAATCCTTAAGGCGTTTGATAATTTCACATGGAACATAACAATTAATACATGAAAATTACCAAATTGTCCTTTTAAAACTTAGTCACAAAAATTTTTGTTTTCAAGTGTAGGCCCTATCTCTAAAAGCCATAATTTATTGTAGTCTCCATGAGATAGTGGGTTTAATTTTTTTATTTTTTATTTTTTTTATCGATACTCACTATCTACTATCTGCGAGGGATAATGATTTAAAAGGGTAATATATTTTTTAATTTGTAAACATTTGGTCATTCAGTTTTTTTCATCCACATTTATCCATTCAACTTGTTAAATTGTCCACATTCAGTCCTTATAACCGGCCGGCTACTTCAGGATAGCCGGTAAAAATGACTTAATATGGTAATATATTTCTCACTTTGTACACATTTAGTCCTTAATATTTTGTACACTTTTTGTCCTTAATATTTTTTTGTTGCAAAATAAATGATTTTTGTTTTTGTACTCATTCAGTACTTATGAATGATTTCTTTAGGTTTCCTCACGACATCTTACGTGAGACAATCATTAATGAGGTATTTTGGGTATTTCGATGCTTATGTTCATCGCGACATCGACTACTTGGTTGCTTAGGTCATGTGTTCTGAACGTCATAACTTCTTCATATGATCTCAGATTTTAGTCTACTATAACTTTTGTTTAGATTACTCCTGTTAAAAAGTAATATATATTTTTACTTACGATCTTTATATCTATACGTTTTTTATGAATGCATGTATGGATGTTTTTTTATAAAAACGTAAGTAAAAATAAATTACATTTTAACGGGAGTAATCTTAGCGAAAATTATAGTAGACTCAAAGAACGAACACGTGGATATGAAGATCGTTAAAATCTGATATCATATGAAGAAGTTACGACGTTCAAAACACAAGACCTAAGCCAAACCACAAGACCTACGCAACCAAGTAGTCGAGATCACGATAGACATAAGCATCAACAGCTCCAAATACCTCATCAATGATTGCCCCGTATAAGATGTCGTGAGAAAATACTGAAGAAATCATTCATAAGTACTGAATGAGTACAAAAACAAAAATGACTTATTTTGAAACAAAAAAATACTAAGGAGTAAATGTGTAAAAAAATATTAAGGACTAAATGTGTACAAAAATATTAAGGACTAAATGTGTACAAAATGAGAAATATATTACCCTATTAAGTCATTTTTCCCGGCTAACCTGGACTAACCGGTCATAAGGACTGAATGTGTACAGTTTAACAAGTTGAAGGGGTAAATGTAGACGAAAAAAAACTCAGTGGCCAATTGTGTACAAATCGAAAAATATATTACATTTTTAAGTCATTATCCCTACTTGTGACCAACAAGTTGTACAAGCTTCTCCGACCACACTTCCATCTCCGGGGAAAGCAACCCACATATCAGTCTCACTTCATCGCCATCGAGATCTCCAGATGTAAAGTCGTAAAGGTGTTTTCTCAGAGGTCATCAACAGTTTACAACAACTTACAACTCTTTTTGGGTAGATCTACATCTTCGACGAATAGCAACTCGTCTGACAGTCTCAGTTTTTCCAGTGAGATCCCCGACAGTGAAGTCGATGACAACTCATGTTGGACAAAGATTAAAGAAAAAGAAAAAAAAGTTATCTGCATCATTTTCGTCTGGCCTTTTTTTTTGCTTTTTCCTATGTTTGTAATTGATTATACATCAAGATGTTGGCGACAATTTCATCGTTGTGAGAAAACTCGTTTCAGTGTGGTGTGAAGGGCGGGGGTAATCGGAGTTCACATGAAAAGAAACTGAAATGAGGTGAGGAGAATGTTAGATAAGACGTGAAATGGTATTTTAGTCATGTTATTTTCTGTTCCAGTGTGTTCCACCCAAAATTCCACCCTTTTGGTTGGGACTGAAATTAAGTAAATCGGTCTCATTTGACTAAGCCAATATCCCACTTTGTCCCAGTCCCATGTACACTAAACGTCACTCCAAAAAACTTTGTTTTGTTTTGTTCTGTTAAGTCCAACACACCAAACGCTACCTAATATCCCATCAAGTGATTTGGTGGAGGTTTAACATGAATCTTTGTGTAACATCCCAAACTTCAGGCATGAGAATTTTATCTAAAAAGGGCAGTTTTTCATTGGAACTTGTCGAGTTGATGGCCTCAACGCGACATGTTGAAAGTCTATGGGCCGCATATCTTTTTGGACCTACTCGACGAGTTGGAAGGCACCAACTCAACGAGTTGGTGGTTGAATATGAAACCCTAATTTTTAGGGTTTTGCACCCTATTTAAAGACCTTAAGTCTCATTGTTGGCCACCCTTATCAACTCCCCTATCCAGTGAAACCCTAATTTGTGCCTCATCTCTCATTTTGAGTGTGTGTGAGCTTGAAGTGTGATTTTTGGTGCTCTTTTGGAAGGAACTTGAAGCTTGAAGAGGATTGATTGAGAGGAAGGCTTTAGATCCACGATTTTCATTGTTGTTGCAACCACATTGAGGTTTAAAGTCAATACCTTGATCATTCATTTGCTAGATCTCTCCATTTGAGAGTTTATTGCTATTATTAGCTTATTTTGGGACCATTATTGGATTTGATCATGTTATGAAGCTATGACTTCAGATTTGGACACCTCATGGCCTCCATGGACTTAAAGTTTCCAACTTTATCAAGTCTTGACCCTCCTTCATGCTCTAAGTCCCTTAGTAAGCTTTGTTTGAGTGTCTTAGCCCCTTGATGCCATGCATGGATGTAAAGTTAGCAACTTTATGTGGTCTCTTAACTCTAGGGGACTAGATCTATGGTTTGAGGCATTAGATTCGCTTGGGAAATAGTTGAATGCTTTGAGACTAGGAGAACTCGACAAGTTGCCTAGCCAACTCGGCGAGTTGAGTCGGGTTTTCCCGTTTTCTGGATAATGTAGGAACTCGACGAGTTGTTCTAACAACTCGGCGAGTTGGTTTGGGTTTTTCTCGTTTTTCTAAGTACTGAAGGAACTCGACAAGTCGATAGATGCACTCGACGAGTTGGGTCAACATGGACTGTTGACATTGAATATTGACTTTGACTTTGACCATGGTTGACCAAGTTTGACCTTGAAGGTGTTTTGGGTATTTCGGGATTTTAATGGATTGATCACTTGGTGAATGTAGGCATTGAGTTGAGAGCTGAGATTCAGAGTCGGGCCTTATCAGTTCTGTTCGGCTTGTGAGGTGAGTTTTCCTCACTGTACTTAAGGGTCTAAGGCACCAAGGCCGACCCTTTGGATTGTTATCTTGATTCATCGTATGATTGAGTATTGTTATGATTTGTTAGATCGGTATCCTGGTAGATAGGATGTTGTTATGATGTCATGATCTGTTAGATCGGTATCCTGGTAGATAGGATGTTGCTATGCTTAGTGATCTGTTAGATCTGTTTGACTGGCTGTAGACCGTTATATGATTATATGTTATATGTGCACATGTCTGATTGGTGGCTGAGGCTTCACTGCTTTATGCGTAAGCCAACAGGCTGGGGTATTCCAACCCGATGGTTGAGGGCCCAGAGTATTCCATCCCGAGGTTGATTGGACTCATAATATGTTGGCATTCCAACCCGATGGTTGAGGGGCCTGGGGTATTCCAACTCGATGGTTGATTGGACCCATAGTATGTTGGCTTTCCAACCCGATGGTTGAGGGGTCTGGGGTATTCCAACCCGATGGTTGATCGGACCCATAGTATGTTGGCATTCCAACCCAATGGTTGAGGGGCCTGGGGTATTCCAACCCGATGGTTGATTGGGCCCATAGTATGCTGTTTGTGATATGTGTTATTTGTGAGTGTTGTACTTTGGGGGAACTCACTAAGCTTCAAGCTTACATTTGTGGATTTTGTTTCAGGTACTTTGGATGATCGTGGGAAGGTGAAGGCTTGATCGTGCACCTCCTCGCATTTTATGTTATGATTTATGGCATTCTCTGATGATAAACTATTTTGAAAACAATTTGTAATAAATGGTGGTTTTTGGATGCTTGAAAAAGTTTAAAATTTTCAAGAATTTTATGAATGTTACACTTTGAGTGGAAGTGTTCGAAATAAAGGTTTGGGGAGATTCTTAGTAAATAAATTTGCTAATTTCAGCTTGGTAGGAACAAAATTAGTGTGTAGCTTTCCAGAGGAAACAAGTTCCCAAACAAAATGATAATCAAGGTCGATGTGTTTACCTTGCTTATGTAAAACAAGGTTTTGACCAACAAAGATAGCACTTCGATTAGAAAATAAATGGGTTGGTTGATTCGATGGCAAGACATGAAACTCGCGAAGTAAATGAGTCATGAGGACAATCACAACAACAATGCTTTCCATGGCATAGTACCCATGGTTGTGTTGAATTAGAAATATTTTGAAAAAGAAAATACCAAATGTGTGTGTGTCTATATATATATATATATATATATATATATATATATATATATATATATATATTGTTGGATTAGGTGTCTAAGCCCATAACTATAATTGGGATGTACTTGACCCGATAGTAGCATGGTCGTTTTTGGGTTGTCTTCATCATAGTAATTTGATAGGATGAATTATGAAGAAAATGTTAATTTTGATTTATTAATATATTATAACAATAATATATTAATTGAGAAATCATATTATTTAATTAGTATTGATTAAGAATTAATTTGGAATTAATTTAGTGATCAAAAGCGACTGATTAAATTAACGGGGATTGATTGTGTAAATTAGTAATAGTTGTAGTTTGGGCTCATGGACCCTATTGGTAAAGGGGTGGACAAAAAACTCTATGGAAGTCCATAGAGATTTCGTCCAAGGCTTGCCTTATGGTAATCCATATGTTGCTTAGGGCCTAAACAAGGGAATTAGGGTTTCCATGTTGAAAACCCTAGGAGCCTCAACTATAAAAGGAACTCCCTGGACTCCTAATTTTGGCCTATGCATTCTAAGAAAAAACCCTAGCCGAATTTAGGAGGCTCTAACCTCTCTCTCATATTCTCCATTGCTATTTGGTGTGTAACATCCCGTTTAAACTAGAACGATTAAATAATAAACCCGGACCCCGATAGGTAATTTTATTTTTATTTTGTATTTCTGGGATTTATTTTGTGAAGATTTTCAGGAGTTGGGGGTTGTTTGGTAAGATTGGGACTTAAATGGAAATGATATTGAATGTTGAGGGCTGAATGGTAATATTTGGATTTAATTTGAGAAGAATAAGAAGGGAGGGACTGGAAGTGTAAAATGTGCATAGATTTGAAAGTTGAAGACGGGTTAAACCCGTCGCCCTCTTGTAACTCCATATATATTCATCCTAACCCACATCCAAACCCTAACCCTAAATTTAGTTGTGCAGCCGCCACCCTCCCAACTTCCGGCGGCCACCACCCTGGTTGGGACCCCAAACCATCAGAGTAACCCCCTCGTGCTCCCCCTGACGCCGGAATGACGAAGTTGTGTGTGTGATCGACGCCGCCACTCGATTAGGTTGCCTTTCAGTCTTCGTCGCCGCCATGGAAGACCTCATCCGCCGCCAGGAACGTAACAACCACTCGGGAACCACCATCCGAGTCCAGCTCTTCTATAGCCGGCCGATAGCGCCGCTGCTGCCACTGCCTTGTGTCGTTGCTGCTCCGTTGCCATCAAGCGGTGAACCGTCGTATCCTCGTTCTTCTTCTTCTGCTGCTGATGTAGTCGATGTTCCGGCGATGGATTTCCACCACTGCTAAGCATGGATGTGTGTGTTTCTGTCGTGCCTCGCAAGCTCGTGGGTGACTTGGGTTACAGATTGCGATAGGGATGCTCGAGGGATAGAAAAACTCGAAGACAAATCACCATGGCAGCCGTCTATGGTGGCTGTCGTCGACGACGTTGCCGTTAGCCGCCGCTGCTGCTATCACCCTCTACACCGCTGCCACACGCCACTAGGTGGGTGGCTTGACTCATTACGGGTAGAAGAGTGTAGTGTGTGGGTGGTTGTTGGCCGGAAATGTAAAGGGACCACAATGGCCGCCAGCCATGGTGGCTGCCACCATCCAACCACCGCCTGCCACCACAAGGTTGGTCGGGTGTGTGTATGTGTTCTCGTGAGTGTGTGCTTATTTGAATATCGTGTTGTAATATTGTAATCAATCGGAATAGTAAAGAAAATCTGTCACCGCCACCGTTAGGTGGTGGCCGCCGCCGTGAGCCGTCGTTGTCCACCACTACCCGAGGTGGTAGTGGGTGGTGCCCAACTAGCGAAACCCTAATGGGCTTGTATTAGGGTTTGGAAAACCCTAATGCCATGAAACCCTAATTTTGGGATTTATTGGGACCGCACGAGAATTATGTATTAAACTAAAAATAATAATTAATAATCATTACAAATTAACCTAAGATAATATTGGACTTAATGGATTAAGTCTTTAATGGGTTAAGTAGGAAAACTTAACCCTAATCGTCATTTCATGTGGAAAACCCTAATTTCACTTGGGCCTTGAATTGGGCCTTATTACTGGGATTTGGTGATTGGGCTACTGATGGACTATCCAAGAGCAAGTAAATGGTCTAAAATAATTAGATGGGCTTTAGGGTAAGGCCATATGAGGAACTTGGGCCCAAATTGGAAAATTGGGCCATAAATGGGCCATAATTGGGCCTTTATGAATATAAGAGATTGGGCCATTAGAATGCCAAGTGTTTGGACCAGGATAGGTGGTTGGGCCTACAGGTAAGGCCCATGTGAAGGGTTGGGCCCAATTTGGAAATTTGGGTCATATGTTGGACTTTGGACCATTACTTGACTATTGGGCATGTGTAGTGTGAGTTGGACCTTGGGCTTGGAACCCAAATATTAATTGGGTGTTGTTTGATGTTGAAAATTTGGGAATCTGTCAACCAGCAGCTGGAGTTGTATCTGCGGGACTTCAACAGTGCCAGGTGAGTCTCCTCACCATACCAATGGGTCTAAGGCACCAAGGCCGACCCATTTTATGATATGTGGTACACTAGTTAATGTAGTGATATGTGGTATGCTAGTTGGTTATATGTTATGTGTTATGCTATTTGTTTATGTGATATTTGCATGAAAGACCATGGGGGAGCCCATGGCTGTGACATCCCCAAAATTCTGAAACAGCTTCCACCAACTCAACACGCCAGATTTTAACAAAGGGATCGCAAAAGCGGTCTTCTGCCTGTTGCTGCATTCACAACTTTCAAACATTGTCTCCATTTCAGAGATCCAATCCATAACTTGCACCGGCGTCGGGCTTCCGGATAGAGACGGTGGCTTAGATGCCATAAAATCCTTGTATTTACATCCTCTTCCATCATGTCCTCCATCACGATTGTTTTGTCTGACAATCGGTGGGTTGGCTTGACCAACAATCCCACTGAAGTTACCTCCTTCCGACGGCCCTCCATTCACTTTGGGCTCTTCAACTTGAATTGAAAGTTCTTCACGATTTTGTTGAAGCAGGCGTCTAGTTTCTTCCATCTGACGATCCAACATCGTTTGAATCATCAATTGTACACCAGCCATTGTCATCAGCTCAGGTGCTGCTACTACAACAGGTGCTTGCTCGATTACCGGTGGTTGATTCCTGTTTTCGTTCGCGTTTCCAACGCCACTTCTTGTTCTTGCCATCGTTGAGCTATACACCGAACAAGGTGAATTTAGATCCTCAATCACGATAGATAATCAAATCATCCTTATCACTCCGAAACGTTTACATGCTAGTTCTAATACCGTCGGCATACGCTTAGAATCCTAAACACATAAGGCTTCCAGATCCGGTTGGCAACAAACCATAGATCCGAACAAATAATATCATATATGGCAAACATATAACATTTAGCACATAAAAGCATTTTAGGCAACTTTCCTAAAATAAACTAGTGCTCGTGTCTTAAATATAACAGACACTCATCTCACAATCTTCACTTAGCATTCTAAGTTTAAGTCTAGAAATCCTAAAAATTCCTAGTTCGCTCAAACTAATGCTCTGATACCAACTGTGACATCCCCAAAATCACGGCCAGAAAAGACCGGTTTCATTTATGCTTTTAAATAAAATCAGAGTAATCATTTGATTAAAAGAGTTGCGGAATTTGTTCCCAAAACAAAACATGATAAGAATTTATCAAAGCATTCCAAAAATATATTGACAATGTCATCCAACTTATGCTCTCGTGCCACTACCTGTAATACAAAGAAAAACTGAGTGGGTCAGGCTTGGGAGCCTGATGAGCATATAGGGTTTTCAACCCACAATAAATAATTATATTTAGTTCATCAACCAACAATAACCCGATTACCCATTCCCGTTATCCTCACTTTACGTCCCTACAACAACTTCTATTACCAGGGACCTGATCTAGGATTTTTCATCAGGATGGACATTACTGCGAAGGGGCTTCCTCCACAATAAATGTCCTAAAGGCAACCATGAGGGGGATAGAGTACACCGGTGAACACATCGTTTACAACACCTACAGGTTACGAGCCTGCTAGCGTTCCACTGGACTGTCTAGAAAGAGTCCGTGGTCATCATCCATACTCCGCTAGATGACTATATCAACAACAACATCGAGGCCTCTCATCATTTTATTTCATCATACACCAACTATCTACCCATGTTCTACCCAACACATTAGTAGATAAAATATATACATTTATATACAGCTTAAAACCTGTACAAAACATCCATTCAACAACTAGTTCAAATAAACAAATAATATATAAACACATAACACGTATTTTATAAAGAATACTTCATATCTATGTGTTAGAAGAAAACGAATATACACTCACTTGATAACACGATGATCGGACAGCACCTCGTCTCTTAAAAAAATCGTTTCCGATAAAACCGGGATGCTTTTCTTGAAAACCGGGCCTCTCGCGGGCAGAGTTTCGGCTTGGAAACTTTACTTCTCGGGATCCTCAGGGCTTCGGGACTTGCTTCGGGTCTCAGGAATAATACCGGGGCTTCGGGGTATAAGTTGCACGCAAAATGAGGCAATAAGAAGTGAGAGAGGAGAAATGAACAACAAAACTCGGCAGCCCTTGAGTTCTATTTATAGGGGCTGATCCCTGCGATTACGCTGGGCGTAACTTCAGAGTACGTTGGGCGTACTCTTCGGATAAGCTTTGGTATGCGTGCCTCGAACTTCAAAAATTCATAACTTTCGCATACGAGCTCCGTTTTCGACGTTCTTTATATCCACACGTAGGTGAGACTATGCTCTACAACTTTCATTTAGACTCCGTCGGCTAATTTTGATTTTATTTTTATTATATTATTTTTAGTAGGCCGGGACAGGAAAACTTCGTTATAAAATCATAACTTTTTCATCCGACGTCCGTTTTCGTCTGTCTTTTTACCGATGGACTACTAACGACGAGATCTTCGATTCTCGTTTAGATTATTTCGGCTAAAAGTCACTCGATCTCATATTCGAGTTTCAGGCTGCATACTGCTAAGCTGAAACTTAGAAAAATCATAACTTCCTCATACGAAGTCAGATTTAGACGTTCTTCTTATGCACGCTCTCGGTTTAACTTATTCTACGACTTTCGTTTAGATCACCAAGGCTAGATATCGCTCTATCTTAAACTCATATTTTACGTCATACAGCGTCGTGCCGGTTCTGTCACGAAACTTCGACATGTCATAACTTCTTCGTTATAACTCGGATTTCGGCATTCTTTATATATTCGGAAACCTTGTCACGACCACTTCGTCTTCATGTATTGATATCGGGTTTATCTAACATTTTATTTTTACGCTTATTTTTATCCTTAATTCATTTAAATCACAACAATTAAGCATAAAACACATAATACTCAAATAATACATTTCTATTATTTCAAAACGGGTTACAAAGGTTAACCTAGACTATTACATCAACATTAATGCCTAGCCCAGAAACACGGGCGTTACAATGGCACATGGATGTAAGACCATGTGGGGGAGCCCATGGCTGTCCAGCAGGGAAAGACCATGGGGGAGCCCATGACACTTAGGTGTAAGACCATGTGGGGGAGCCCATGGCATCCTTATGCAGGGATATGTGGTAGAGATAGCTTTTATAACTCATGTTATATGATACAGATAGCTTTATAGTTAATATGATATGTGGTATGCAGTAGAGATAGCTTGTACAGCTAATGTGATATGTGTTAAGTGGTAGAGATAGCTTTTACAGTTAATATGATATGTGGCATGTGGTAGAGATAGTTTGCATAGCTAATATGATATGAGGTATGTGGTAGAGATAGCTTTTATAGCTAATATGATATGTGTTATGTGGATTGCGTGTGGGGTATGCTCTGGGGAACTCACTAAGATTTGTGCTTACGGTTTACAGTTTTGGTTTCAGGTATCAACGATTTGGAAAAGAAGGGCTCGGATTGATCGTAGTGCACACACATATGATTTCCGCAATGAATGATTTTGGGATGAACCCTGATAAATGTTTTACTTAATGAGGATTTGACATGTTTGAAATAAATGGTATCAATGTTTTAGCTATCACAAAAATGAAATTTTTACCCCTGATTTTTGGGTCATTACATGGTGTTTGTGACTCATTAGAGGTACAACAATTGAGGCACTAAGCTATTGAAGGTCAAGAACAACAAGCTACAAGGAAAAAGGTATTCTTCTAAGTCTTTATTATGTTATGATTTTCGATTATAGCATGTTAGATTAGGGTTTTGCTTTGGATAAATTATTTGCAT